CTTCATCTGTGTTGTTCCGCCATAACAAGACAGAGATTAGAGAGTTCATAAAGAAAACAATTAGCAGACACAGTAGTATATACCCTATAATCTCAGCACTCAGGTAGCTGAGGGAGGAGGCTCCAAGGCCAAGCTGGCTACAGAGTGAGGTCCCCTATTCATTAAAAACATAAGAAATTGGCTTCACACCCAAGTCACAGTCTCCCATATCATATGAAACACTGATTAGGTTGCATTTTTTAAAAAAAGATATTTATATTCTTGAAGTCTGTGTAGGTAGAGTTTTCCCGCCTGGCCCACGGTCAGGGCAAATCTCTCTCACCTGCCAGTCCCACAGCCACTCAGACCCAACCAAGTAAACACAGAGACTTATATTGGTTACAAACTGTATGGCCGTGGCAGGCTTCTTGCTAACTGTTCTTACAGCTTAAATTAATCCATTTCTACTAATCTATACCTTGCCACATGGCTCGTGGCTTACCAGCATCTTCACATGCGGCTTGTCATGGTGGCGGCTGGCAGTGTCTCTCTCACCCAGTTTCCTGTTCTCTCAATTCTCCTCTCTGTTAGTCCTGCCTATACTTCCTGCCTGGCCACTGGCCAATCAGTAATTTATTTATTGACCAATCAGCAACACATTTGACATACAGACCATCCCACAGCAGTTCTGGCTGCTGGAAAATCTCTGGAGAGGCAAGTGAGCATGGCTAAGACTGACAGACAAAAATCACTGGAAATAAGGTTTAGTTGGGAACCAAGTCCAGGCTAATGGCTGGGAGGCGTTCAAAAGGGCCATACCCTCCTAACTGAATCGCCTCTCTCATAAGACAAATACATTTCAATGACTGCTAAATCTTAACACAAGTTGTGGAGGGAACATTTGAAGCATACAAGATTCTTAGATGGGGCTGGCAAGGTGGCTTAATGGTTACAAGCACTGGCTGCTCTTCTAGAGGACCCAGTGACACCTACATGGCAGCTCAAAACATTATAGCTATCTGTAACTCCAATACCAAGGAATTCAATGCCCTCTTCTGGCCTCCATGGACACCAGGTACACATGTGGTAAACAGGCATTCATGCAGGGAAGACATGCATACATGTAAAATAAAAGGTAAACTAAATTTAAAAGTTTAAAGTTCATATACACACAAAAGAATCAAAACTCAGTCTAGAATATTCTTTTAAGAAAGAGTAAGCTGTTCTCAAGGGGATATGGTGTTCTTTTGGGGAATAAGTGTCTCATCCAGGAAAGATCTGGTCACAACCCAGGAGACAATGGAGATTAAGATAGAGATCATTTTTAAAAGCCCCAAGGAGGAAACTGACAGCCGGACCTTCAACGATGTCCCAGGGGCATCTCTTTCCTCTCTGTACTGTGGCCCCTAGCATGATGCTGGGAAATAGCTGGGCCCGGGCTCCCGGGAGACTTGTCCGCACATCAGCACAGTGTCATCAGGGATAGCATTGATACTTGCATGTCTAGTGTGCTGGGTATTGAACCCAGGTTGTCAGGTTTGCCTGAAGGCATGTTCAGAGGTTTGTCTCCTACATGATTCTAGAGCCAGCCAAGTTGACAGTATTAACCATCACAGCTTCTAAATGGCATTCTGTCCTCTGAGTGTGTGTCGCACCTTCTCAGGCTACTCCATTTCCTCAAGCCAAATAGTTCTGATGTGTGAATGTGGGCGTGGGTTTAGCCTTGGCCAGATGTGCTGGTTAGGGTTTCTATTACTGTGATAAACACTGTGACCAAAAGCAGCTTGGGGAGGAAGGGGGTTGGTTCACCTCACAGTTGTAGTCTAGGGAAGTCAGGTAGGAACTGAAGCAGAGGCCATGGAGGAATGCTGCTTACCAGCTTACTTCCCATGACTTATTCAGCCCGATTTCTTACACCATCCAGGACCATCTGTCCAGGGTACACTGCCTACAGTGGTCTGGGCCCTCCCACATCAATCATCAATCAGGAAAATGCCCCCACACACTTGCCCACAGGCCAATCCTGTGGAGACATTTCCTCAGCTGAGGTCCCTTCTTTAGATAACTCTACCTTGTGTCAAGCTGACATAAAAACTAGCCAGCATACTAGACATGCAAGCATCAGTGTTATCCCTGGAGTGCTGATGTGCTGGCAAGTCTCCAGGGAGCCCTGGCCCAGTCATTTCCCAGCATCATGCTGAGTTATTGTCTGACTTCCACAGATGTGCTGTGACACTCATACACGTGTACCCCCCACATGCATACATACACGCATACATACATATAAAGGCAGATAGTAAATAAATGAAAAAAAAAACAAAGATGAAGGTAGTGAGACTTGGGGAAGTGAAGCCCCTGGTGCATGGCTTTTGGTTCCCCAGCTCTAGCTTCTCTCTATCTCTGTCTCTCTCTGTTTCTATTTCTGTCTCCGTCTCATTTTCAATAAAATATCAGAGTTTTGAATTTTAACTGGGTATTGCTGACCTTCAACTTGACTGACAGTTCAGACTAGATCCTTCTCTGTTGTGGAGCACTTTTCTATACACTGGCAGGTGTTTAGCAGCACCCTGGGGCCTCATTCAGTAGCAACACTGTCTACCCAAAGGAGTTGTAATAGCAAGTATGTCTCCAGCCATATCAATTGTCCTTAGAGATCATATCACCCCATTAAGGATCATAATTTAGCTGGATTTCTATTAGTTGGGCATTCCAGAGACCTCCAGCTGAATACTTGCTGGGAGAAACCTCTTGTGGGGTATTCACTATAGAAGACTGCTCAGACATGGGTTTAAGCCAATAGAAAGTCTTAGTCAGTCCACTAGCAACTACACAGAGTGTTTGGGATCACAATGGAGCATTGAACCTTTTTCAGGATGAGCTTTTAAGCACAAAAAATACTATGTTCTGGGTTGACATACTTCTATTAACAAGAACAGTTAGCCAGAAATGGAACTACAGAAGCCAAAAGGCAAGGTTAGTACATTTAGAGACTTTCTCAGAACTATGGACTTTGATGGATTAGAACTTTGTTTTCATTTTAGCAGGTGGTGCTGTCTACATGATGAGTTTTATGGCCTGAATGGTATTTCCATCATGGAGGCAGTTGTGCTAAGATCTAGGAGTCTACTAAGGTGTGGGGCCCTGTTACAAACCAGCAGGAAGCCTGTGCCCTTCTGGCAAGCCCTGGCTCATTCAAGGTAGCCTGCTAGGATGTTCTAGGCAGAGTCTTGAAAAAGGCCTGGCATGCTTCTGGCATGTAGAGATGCAGACTGAAGCCCTGAATCCCTGCCCCGGTCCTGGGATCTCAGATGTTAGGAGTGGAGTGAAAACTGTGTGCATCTGAGGCCAGCCACAGGTGGGCCCACACTGTTCTGTGGTCACACTTCGGGAAGGAACTGCAGACTGAGGCTTTTGGTAAAGGTGTGGTGATGAGTAGGCAGGTGGTCGGAGTCAGACTCAGAGAGTCAGGCTCTCATCCTGATCCTGTCCTGACTAACATGTGGTCCAGCTAAGTCCCTTAACCTAAGTTTACATTGGTAGCTTCTCTCTACCTATTCCCAGGATGGTTGTCAAGACCAACAGAGTGTTGTTTCCAAAAAGACCCATCCTCCCTTCATCTGCTGCCTTGTTCTTCAGAGCACCAGAATCAAACCCAGGGCTTTGAGCATGCTGGGAGAGCATTCTACCCACTGAGCTATAGTCTTGGGCCAGAGTTAATTTTTTTTATAACACACACCCTGCTATGACACACAGCAGAATTGTAGGGAAGCCCAGTTTAAACATAGCCCCTGGAAGGAATTTGTAAATTCCTATAGAAATATAAATGTTCACATTGGTTGACCAGTGGCTTGCTTGTCTAGGAATTTATCACAGAAAAACCTAGATGTGAGCAGTGGATCAATCACTGTATAGCAACATAGTGGGATACTGTGCACACACACACACACACACACACACACACACACACACACACAAATCAGTTGACTTGCATGTACTGACAGGGAACCATGCCCAAGATGTATTATTAAATAGAATTACATATAATTTGATGTAAAAAGGTATTTATTAAGAAAAAAGAGCAAATTGCTGAAATATTCTGTATAGTAACAATGTCATATGATATTTATAACCAGCACCTGTAAGAATCAGTACTAAACTGGAGGCATGAGTGGTACTCTGACTCAGTTTGTGTCTGGAAGCTTCAGAACTTGGAAGTGGGTGATCAGTCCACAAGTCAGCCCCTGGGTATCAATGGTACAAAACCCACAATCCAAGAGGTGAAAATTTTGGAGTTATATCTAAGGGCAGTGGGAGGGAGACAAAGAAAGAGAGAGAGACAGATCAAGAAAAGACAGAGAAAAATAGTGACAGAGAGAGTGGACAACCCCCTACTTCTTCCTTTTCATCCTCTTCCCCTAGCACCTCCAGCTGCCTGGATATTGCCTACATGAGGGCAGGACTTCGTTAAACATTTCAGTGACTCACAAGCCAACCTCTGGGGACATCATCACAGACTGTTGTCGTTTAAATGTAAACTATCCCTAATGTCAGGCTTATCTGTTTGACCCCAGCTGGTGGTACTGTTGTGGAAGGTTATGTGATTTTGGAGATATGGGGTCTAGCTAGCTGTGGGGGCAGGCCTAGAGGGTTCTATATGCCAGGTTTCTGCCCAAGCTCTGTTTCTTGGTCTGGACTGTGTAAAAGTAGCTTCCAGGCTCACATGGCTACAGAGCTGCCTGGTGGTGGTGTAGTCCCTAGGACTGTGAGCCTAAACAACAACCCCTCCCCTAAGTCACTTGTAAGTTAGGTATTCCATCACAGCAAGGAGAAAAGTGATGAAGACCCAGACTTATTCAGAAACAGGCTGGTCACTGATCACCCAGGCCTCCTTCAATCAAGTTAAGCAGTCAGCATAGCCCTTGGAAGGGGCACCCACTCTCACCAGCTGCCTGTGTTTAAACCAGGCTAATACTGATGTATGTTCTGCTGAAGTAACTTATTGTGTGTCTCCTCCCCCACAGGATGGATGATATTCAGCTCTGCAAGGACATCATGGACCTGAAGCAGGAGCTGCAGAACTTGGTCGCCATTCCAGGTAATGTGGATGATTGCACCCTCTCTTAGCCACTGCCTAGGGCTCGTCATCTGCCCTCTGTACCCATGTGTCCGGCTGACCAACGGGTAGGATTGAGGCAGGACCGGTGCGGCCGGTCTCTCCCTGGGGCTGAGCAGGATGGTGAGTGTCGACAGCCCAGACCTCCCCTGTCCACCAGAGAGAAGCACACTGAGCTGGGAGTCTTGTCAAAGCAGGAACTCATTTTATTACATCAGGAGTGGACTTATATAGGTTGGGGTGATGAGGAATAGGTTGAGGATAGCAGGTCAATGAGATGATGCCATCTCAGCAGTTACTAGGCAGAGGCAATTCTAGGTCAGGTTGAGCTGAGTCACTCATATGTAGAAGTCATGTCCAAAGACAGGTCGCCAAACTTGAGCTAGGCTCAGGAAGTTATACTGGGCCTCATGCCCAGGCCCTTTGGGGGTCAACATCTCCCCCTTTTGTTTTTTGTAAGATATAGCCCCTGTATTAGGTTGTCCCCCACTTGGAGATCTTACCTGTCATTGAGTACCATGTATCATAAATAGGAGGGGGGTGGGTCACTCCATAACCTGTCATAGGTCGTCGCAGCCTGCTTGAGAGCTTACCTGTCATTGGTCAAGTGGAGAGCAGAAGAAGGCGCTCATAGGAGGATACCCAGCCATGGGAGGGACCAGACTCCTGAGTGGCTAATTTTGGTAGTGTACCTCAATCTGATTTATCTTAATTGCCTCTAATCTCTGGTGGATAAATTGTGTGAATTTATTGAACACACAAGGCCCAATGGTGAAGAGGACAATAAGGAGAAGGAAGGGTTCAAGGAGGGGAAGTAGGTAGGGTAAGAATCCATGAAGACCTGTCCACAGAGGACTGTCTTGAAATTCCCATCGTCTCCTTTCTAGGTCTTCCTGGAGCCTCTTTCTCTTATCCTGGATAATCCCCGACTTGTTAGCGTATTAGCAGCATTTTTCCTGTAACAACAAAGGCCCCCCTTTTCTGACGTTAGCAGATCTACCCCCTCCTATTCTGGAGGACTACTTCAGCCAGAGAGTCTAACTGACTCTGCAGGTCAAGAATGGTGCTGGAGATGGCCTTTACATCATCAATTAACTGAATGGATAATTTCCTAAAAAGATGTGAGGACAGGCCTATCCCCAAGGCTCCTGTGGCCATGCCTGCAGTTACTCCCAGTCCAGCAAGGAGGGGTATCATTTGAATGGCCCTCTTAGACCTTCCTCCTATGTAGTCAAAAGAGGGTACTGGAAGAGCCTCATCACTGGATGATATCTGCATCTGGTATCAGCATGGCAGGGGCGCAAAGGCCTGTCCATGACCCAGGGAAAAAGCTAAAAGCCATTCCTTCTCAGCACACAAAAACCATTCCCATGGGGGGACATACCTGCTTGTGGGGGTGCTAGTGTGGTTGCCAGCACAAAAGAAAGATGAGACCTGGCCCACATCAATGGCATCCATACTATTCTGTGGAGCCCAGAGACAGGAAATTAGCGGGCAAAACATGGAGGGGCTGGACCATAATAGGCAGGGTAGGGGAACAGCCCGGTGGGGGGATGGTAGAGGAAACATCAATTTCAAAAAAGGTAAGGTTGGAATGGGAAACATTAATAGGCAATGCCAGTGGTCATGGTGGCCCCAGGCAAAGGCAGAGCCAACAATTCTCAGCAAGGGAGGGATTGGTCTGATTGAGTGTGGAGAAAGATGTCTCCAGGATGGCTTGAGGTTAAGCCATGGCGTGAGGTTAAGATCCCTTTCTGATTAGGGAGGGCTAAGAGGTGATAGAAGAGCTTGGGGAACTCAGATTTAAGCAATTGTTCCACTCTCTTTTGGATCTGTAACTCCCACAACTGGCCCTGCACTCCCCCACCATCAGAGTAACCCATGGGGGCCTCCAATTCCCCCAAAATTGGTGGCCGAAACAGGGTTCAGTTCCCCACTGGATGCCTTCCAAACAGAACCAAACGTACCTGAATGGCCAATGCCATTTCTGGTGGTGATCCAGTAGGTCTTATTATCAGTCTTTCTAATGCATTCATGCACCGTGGTGTAGCAGGTGGCATGCATGGATTGGTAAAAGGAGGTGCAGGGGCAGGGCCCAAGTTTGCCATTTACCATAGGTATGATTTTAGGCTTATCTACCCAAACCCATTTATGTGAGGCAGATTCAATAATGGTGGTGCTGGTATGAATACTGAGGTATGCAAATTTACCACCACAATCTACTGTGCTAATCAGCTGTCCAGAGTATGGTGAGGCCTTGAACACTCCACCACCACAATCACAGGGTTTTCCGTATATCAAGTTCAGGGTTTCTTGTGCATCATAATGACCCCCAAACCCTTTTTCACTGGGCTGGTCAGTCAACATCAGCATCAGGACAAGCAACAGCATCTGCATCTTTGGTCATTACTGAGGAAGAAGCAAAAAGACTATCCTCCATGGTGGAACACTCCGTGGAGCCATCATTATCATTGTCCCATTGTTGGGGTAAATATTTGAGGTCTCTGGCTGGTACCCAGATGGGTCTCTTTTCATTTTTAGGAAAGACACATCCGAACCCTCTTCCTGCAGTGAGGAGTGGGTCTGGCCCTCTCCAGGCCCCAGTTAAGGGGTCCCTCCACTTGACCCAGATGGTACTATAAGTAACCAAGGAGGACCAATGTTTTTGAAAAGGAGACAAAAATTTATCTTCCTTAGAAAAATTTAAAATATTTAAGGTTAATAATGCCTTTCTTAGTTGATCATGTGGGGGTAGAGACTCCCCCTTCTGTTTTGTAATTTGGACTTAAGTGTTTGGTTGAATCTTTCCACAATGTCCTGACCCCTAGGATTATAGGGGATGCCAGTAGAATGATAAATTTTCCAGGTGTGTAGGAAGTTTATAAAGGCTTTGCCAATAAAGCATGGGCCATTATTTGTTTTGATTTGATTTGAAACATGCTTGGATTTTTCCCCGGCATGAGCTGATGCCCAACAGGCATGGGAGAAAGTATCTACAGAAAGAAAAACATATTTAAGTTTTCCAAATGGGGAATAGTGTGTGACATCAATCTGCCAGAGATGATTGGGACGAAGTCCTCGGGGGTTGCTCCCCATCTTTTGGAGGGGAGGGATTTGAAGGAAGGGCTGACAAGACTTGGAGGTCCAGACAGTTTTTTTGAAATCCTTAATCGAGGAAACTTATGTTTCAGGCCTCTCCAGTTAGCATGGGTAAGTAGGTGGAAATCTGTGGCCTCAGTAACAGTATTACATTGAGGCATTGAAGCCAGATGGTCAGCCAACTGATTTCCTTTGGAGAGAAATCCTGGCAAATTTTGGTGACCTCTAAGATGTTGTAAATAAATGGGATTGAGTCTCTGTTTAAGTAAGGAGTGAGCCTGAATCATAAGAGGAGAAATGGGATTGAAATCTAATTTAATATGGGCTTCAACCAGGTTAGGCAAAAGATTTACAACATAAAGGCTATCAGAGAATAGATTAAATGACTCTGATATGGAATCTAGCACCATAACAAGAGCAAACAGTTCCTTAAACTGTGCAGACCTCTCCATCTTGAGGAAGATTGTTTTTATAGGTATAGGTTCCTCTCCTTGTCCAAGGGGTGGGAACACAACTAGGGAGCCCCCCAAGTATCCCCTGTTGGTAAACACCATAAGAAAATTGGGGTTTGGGTGAGGCAAAAAAATTCTAAGGGGCCTCTACTCCAGACGGGAGAAGGAACTCATCCATTTATAAGGGCCATAATGGCAATCAGCCTTCTCTGGAAACCCCTCAAGGGCTAAGGCAATTCTGCTATTATTTCCTTGGGGCCAGGTAAAGTCAGTAATTTTAAATGGAACAATAACAGAATGAGGTTCTGTGCCAAATATCCTGACAGGAATATCCTTGCTCTTAATAATGCAATTGGCTACCTGGTTGGTCAGGGAGTAAACCCGGAGGGGGAGTGGGGGCTCCACCCACCAAGAGGTGAACCCAATGAATGGGCTCCCACTCTTGTGCTAACAGCGCAGTGCATAAGGTTTCCCCAGGAAAAACACACAGGGAGACAGGCAGGCCAGAGTCAAATCTCCTTAGGGGCGCTGTATCAATGGCTTGTTGAACCTGTTGCAAGATTTGCAAATGGTGGGAGGATAAGGTAATCTGGATAAAAGATCAAGGCCCTTAAGGAGTTCATTTAAAGGGGTAAACTGCTCTGTGGGCACAGAGATCCGTGATCTCAGCCAATTTATTTCTCCCAGCATCTTTTGAAGCTGAGTTAAGGTATAGGTCCCTTGAATCAGCAGCTGGGGTTTAGCTGGAGAAACTGTATTAAGGGACAGGAGAGCACCCAGAATTTTAAAGGGGGGAATGGACTGTACTTTATCTGGAGCCACCCTAAAATTATGATCTTTCAAGATGGTAAGGCAATTAGTGGTCCTGAAGGCCTGTCAAAGTGGGGCTTCCTAGAATAATATCATCCATGTAAATATAAAATAAAATGTTGGGGCATCCCATTAGGGAGGAAAAAATATGTGACATAAAGTACTGACATATAGGGGGGGCTGTTAGTCATCCCCTGGGGCAAAATGGTCCACTTGAACCTTAAGTCCAGGCCCTGGAAATTGGTAGAGGGCAGGGAGAATGCAAACTTCTCCATATCATCTGGATGTAATGGAATGGAGAAAAAACAATCCTTAATATCAATAATTGTCAGATAATAGGTATTAGGGATGGCAGATATCCAGGGAAGTTCCCTTTGGGGGATCCCAAATGGGATCATTCTTTCATTGATTTTTCTTAAGTCATATAGAAATCTCCAGGAACCATTAGCCTTTTTTATAACAAAAACAGGAGAGTTCCAGGGTCTGGTAGACAGCCCAACATGCCCCAAGGACAATTGTTGTTTAACCAGAGCATCAAGCTGTTGTAATTTAAAGGACAATAGAGGCCATACAGATTCCCCAGGTATCCACTGAATCTTTGGCACCAGGGGGCGAGCAGTG